TGAAGGCGTAAGTCACGAACAAGGCCACACCAGTTTGGAGTTATGATTAATAGGGTGTTATTTATTTAAAGGGGAAAACTTACAGATCACCGTCTCAGACAACAGCCATCTGTACAACCAGGAAGGGAGTCTAGTCTCTGGCGGAGCAGGAAGTGAAGAGAGCGAGCAGAGGAAATAGCTGCTTTTTTAAAGGGAGAGAGACCACGCCCCAATGGGCTGGTATCACAGCAGCTATTGGTTGGAGGGGCGGAAGGACCTCCCACAACATTCTCCCAGTCAGTAGGTTGCCTTTTTGTCTTAGTGACATTGTCCTTTGATTTACAGAAGCTTCTCAGTTTCAGTAGGTCCCATTTATTCAATGTTGCCCTTAATGTCTGTGCTGCTGGGGTTATACATAGGAAGTGATCTCCTGTGCCCATATGTTGTAGGGTACTTCCCACTTTCTCTGCTATCAGGTTCAGTGTGTTCAGATTGATATTGAGGTCTTTGATCCATTTGGACTTGAGTTTTGTGCATGTTGATAGATATGGGTCTATTTTCATTCTTCTACAGGTTGACATCCAGTTATGCCAGCACCATTTGTTGATGATGCTTTCTTTCTTCCACTGTATACTTTTAGCTCCTTGTTATGTCTTAAAGATACTCTTCCCTTGGAGTCATCCATCACCTCTTGTAGTAACAGTCATTCTGCCTCCTCTTCCACCTAGGTCCCAGAACCTTTGATGAAGAGAAGTCACATTTAGGAGCAAGTGCTTCAAAGTCTATCATGATCTTCACATTATTCAGTTGTGGGTCTCTGTGCTAGTTCCTATCTTCTGCAAGAACAACCTTTTTAAATGAGGGTTGAACAAGGCATATATTTTCATGTTTAGTAGTTGGTCATTAAAAATCATTTTATTGCTATGTTCTTTTAAGGGAAAAAGAGCAGTAGGTTTTCCCCTAGGTCTATGTCATATCTACTCTCAGGTTATTGCCTCTTTTGAGTATAGTCCATGGGTTCCATCTCATGGTGAACCCCAAATCCAACCAAAAAGTGACTAGTTGGTTTCCTAACATTTCTGCCAGAATCACACCAGTATATGCTATAGGCATGACACTATTGTAGGTGTTACTTATGACTACATTTCTCCTTGTAGTCTTTAGAGTATCTTCCAGTACTATGAATACTAGTTAGGAGGAGTGAATCATCTATTTAGGCAACAGCTGTATGTTAGGGGCTGAAGACCCTCAAATTCTGAACTTTCTATTACCCCTTGCCTGCCAGAGTAAACAATTTGCTTTCATTTGCTTGCAGATGCTCTGAGCATGAAGCCCTCATGAGTTCCTGATAACAAGAAAGTGGTTTCTGGTGGACTTGCAGTAGAAATTCCTGAGAGCTACGTCATGGCCACTAATCAAGAAGAGCACTTTATAAGCTGCCCTCGAACACAATAAAATTGTCATTCTTGCTTCAAGAGTGACTTATGTCTCTGTGTGTTCTTTACCCCCCAGACTCTTGCCCAACCGCAGTTTCAGGTGGTGCAGACAACACAGCTCTATATATTTGACACAAGTGAGTGTTTGTTCAGTAACAGGGCTATACTATCAGGTTATGGAGAGCAACCATTAATGTTGGCAATACCCTATGATGTTTGAAGGTTTCCATGAAACCCCTCAACTAGATATAACCCATTCATGGCACTAGAGTTTTTACTTAGTGGTATATGTCATCTAATGGAGCATTGTTTCCCCTACTATTTATTGACTTTATTTAGATTCCTTCCATAGATGCATATGTTTTAGTAAGCATTTACAGTACTAGTTTTCCATATGGTTTTTCAAATGACTTTTACCATTAGTTGTTCTAACATATATTCTCCCCTTTTTATACTTCTCAGTATTTAATCTTCTCCTTCTTCTTCTCCTCCTCCTCCTCCTCCTCCTCCTCCTCCTCCTCCTCCTCCTCCTCCTCCTCCTCCTCTTCTTCTTCTTCTTCTTCTTCTTCTTCTTCTTCTTCTTCTTCTTCTTTTCTTGTTTTCCAATTATTCTCTTAACACTTTATTCTATTTTCCTTTCCTTGGAAAATCCACCACACTGGTCCCTTATTATATATCTAACCTTTGTGGTTATTTGTATTTTAGCACACATATAGAAAACTACACATATAAAAAACTTAAAACCTAACATGCACATACAAAAAGAAAACATAATATTTGTTTCTATGTGAATTACCTCACTCAGGATGATATTTTCTAGCTGCATACATTTATCTGCAAATTTTATAATTTAATTTTGTTAATATGTAAGTAATATTCTCTTGTATAATTGTACCACCTATTCATTATGCATTCATAAATTGATAGACATCTAGGCTCTTTCTTATTTCTGGATATGATGAATGGAGCGGAATCTTTATAATAAACATTACATTTAAAATTAGCTACAGATCTGTATGTTGTGACTTGCACCTTCTGACTACTCTCCCAGTCTCTGATTGAGCATGGCTACTTTGCTTTTTCTTCTCTATTCTTAAGTTGGTCATGGTTAATGGACTCCATTCATGTTGCTCAACCAACATTACTAATGATTTATCCACTTGACCTTTTTTTATCATAAATTAAGACCAATAATTCTTTTCTGTAAGTAAGAAAACTGATAGAAGAATAAGTTCTTATGACTTATAGGAAAATATTTTATTATGAAGCAGTACTTGTTAACTATGTTTATTTTCATAGCTTTCTAAATATCTTTTAATATAGAGATGTCATATTTTGAAATAAATATCATGTTGACACTCTGTTATTTTCTTCATGGGAGAAATTTGCACATTATGTTAATTAAATATATGAATGTTAAAGAGGGTTCCTCTAAAACATAGTTTGTGAGAGAGTGCTGGTGTGTGAACAGGCATGAAATGACTGCTCTTCATCTTGCTCGTGAGCACCCAGGCTACTTTTCAGTTTTAAGGAAGCATTGGAAATCTTAAGATATTTTTTATCTATGTGTGAAAATAGTTCTTAATATTGGAAATAATAGGACAGATAAAGTGAAAAACAAAAATCTCTGACATAAAGTCCATCAAAATGCCCAGAAATATTGTGCTCTATCTAGTCATTGTGTCTTAATTTTGAGAGAGAGAACATGAGCAGAAGTTGAATGGGCAGAAGCTTGTCTTTATCAACAATCCTCTAAGATCCTGTTGATTGGTGAGATTTGATAAGGTAACATGAAACTATTTTGGCCAAGTGATCTATTTATAGCAGAGTAAATGGCTACTCTCTTAGGCTCAACTAGTCATTCTCTCACTTTCCCTTCCTCGTAGAGTGTATTTATGTTATTTCTGTTTTCTACTGAAAGCTCCTTTAAAAGTCACAAGGGGATAAAAATCAAAAAGAAGAAGTGAAACTCACTTTTTGATGATGATATAATAGTTTACATAAGCAACCCCAAACATTCTACCAAGGAACTTCTATAACTCATAAACACTTTCAGTAATGTAGCACAATACAAGATTAACTCAAAAAAAAAATCAGTAGCACTTCTCTACACAGATGATAAAAGGTCTGGGAAAGAAATCAGAGAAACAACACCCTTCACAATAGCCACAAATAGCATAAAATATCTCGGAGTAACTCTAACCAAACAAGTGGAAGACTTGTACGGCAAGAACTTTAATCTTTGAAGAAAGAAATTGAAGAGGACATCAGAAAGTGGAAAAATATTCCATGCTCTTGGGTAGGTAGAATCAACATAGTAACAATGGCAATGTTACCAAAAGCAATCTACAGATTCAATGCAATGTCCATCAAAATCCCAGCAAAATTCTTCACAAAACTCAAAAGAAAGATACTAAACTTCACATAGAAAAGGAAAAAGCCAAGGATAGCCAAAACAATTCTGTGCAATAAAAGAACTTCTGGAGGCATCAAAATCCCTGACTTCAAACTCTACTACAGAGCTGGGTACTGAAAACAGTCTGGTATTGGCATAAGAAAAAACAGGAGGACGAATGGAACTGAATCGATGACCCGGATAGTAATCCACACACCTTCAAACACTTGATTTTTGACAAAGAAGCAAAAAATATCAAATGGGAAAAACAAAGCATATTTAACAAATGGTGCTAGAATAACTGGATATCAACATGTAGAAGAATGAAAATAGATCCATATCTATCACCAAGCACAAAACTCAAGTCCAAATGGATTGAAGACCTCAACATAAAGTCAGCCATACTGAACCTTATAGGAGAGAAATTGGGAAGTACACTTGAACACATTAGCACAAGAGACTTCCTAAATATAACTCCAGTAGCACAGAAACTGAGAGAAACAATAAATGGGACCTCCTGAAACTAAAAAGCTTCTGTAAAGCAAAGGACATGGTCAACAAGACAAAACGACAACCTACAGAATGGGAAGAGGTCTTCACCAACCTCACATCAGAAAGAAATCTCATCTCCAAAATATACAAAGAACTCAAGAAATTGGTAATTAAAAGAATGAATAATCCAATAAAAATGGAGTACAGACCTAAACAGAGAACTCTCAACAGAGGAATCTAACATGGCTGAAAGACACTTAAGGAAATATTCAACATTCTTAGTCATCAGAGAAATGCAAATCAAAACAACTCAGATTCCATCTTACACCTGTAAGAATGGCCAGAATCAAAAACACCGATGACAACTTATGCTGGAGAGGATGAGGGGTAAAGGAAACATTCTTCATTGCTGGTAGGAATGCAAGCTGGTACAGCCCCTTTGGATGTCAGTGTGGTGATTTCTCAGAAAATTAGGAAACAACCTTCCTCAAGACCCAGTAGTACCACTTTTGGGTATATATCCAAAGGATGCTCAATCGTGCCACATGGACACATGCTCAACTATGCTCATAGCAGCATTCTTTGTGATAGCCAGAACCTGGAAACAACCTAAATGCCCCTCGATGGAAGAATGGATAAGAAAAATGTGGTACATTTACACAATGGAGTACTGCACAGTAGAAAAAATAACATCTTGAATTTTTCAGGAAAATGGACAGAGAAAGAAAACATCATTTTGAGTCTGGTAACCCAGACAAAGAAAGATAAGTATCAAAAGTACTCACTCATAAGTGGTTTTTAAACATAAAGTAAAGAAAACCAGCACATAAATCACAATCCCAGAGAATTTAGACAACAATGAGGACACTAAGAGAGACATATATGAATCTAATCTACATGGGAAGTAGAAAAAGATAAGATCTCCTGAGTAAATTGGGAACATGGGTAATTTGGGGGAGGGGTGAAGGTGAGGGGAGAGGCAGGAAGGGGAGCAGAGAACAATGTAGAGCTCAATAAAAATCAATTTAAAAAGTCACTGGTGGAAGATTCTGCCAGAGGAAACTGTGACTCGGAAGATGGAGTATCTTAAGTACGTTTCTCATTCCTTAGAAAGTGAGGCTGTTCTTCTTTCCATTCCTTTTACGTGGGAGTAAGGTTTGGTCCTGTGAGCCTAAATTTAGGCCAATTCCTTGATGTACAGCCAATAAAATCCCTAAAATGTGTCAACAGCCTCTAGAATAGTGGTTTGATTTCCCCAGAAAAAGCATTATTTTTTAGGGAGAAAATTTATGTTGATGATTTTCGAATGATTGGAAATCCTCAGGCAGTTTTCCAGCTGGCCACCCCATGTGCTGATTCAAGATCAAGTGCCAAGTTTGGGCTTTTGGCAGTGACTAGAATGACCTGGTCAACTTCAAGAGGCAGCTCAGGGGGAGATTTCAGCATTCCCATTTTAACACAATTACTAGTTTGCTTCTGGATGAAATCCAGCACTTTACTTTTAATATGTGATACTCATATCACGTTGGAATCACTTTCTCTGTAGTTCTACTTCTAAAACCCTGAAGAGGTTTTTACATTAGGAAAAATTGAAGACAAAATGTTCTTTGCTATATGAATTTTCAAAACCAAGATCCTGGATTGTCTGACATGTTTCTTTACCTTTGAAAGTTCAAATATCCTTTATTCGGGTAATTGTATGTAAGTTTTGAATGCCAATATTCAATGTTTAGATCATAGAAGATGAGATAATAATCTCTTATTGCTTATATAATCTCTTAATGCTTATAAATATAAAGAATAAGTGTTAAATATCTGATATATTAAAGTGGTATATTGTGTTTCTGTTTATTAGGTAATCATAATCTATGTTTAGTGGAATAATTTCTGTATTCAGAAAGTGATAATCATGGTCATGTGTAAGTACTTGGACAGGCTGTAGACTCTGCTGTAAAGGAAAGAACTATGTGTTCTGAAAGGAAAGTCACTGTGCTTATTTCATATTTTAGTGCCTTTGGACAGCACAATGATTTACTTTTAATAATATACAAACTCAGGTTAGTGAAAACTAACAAAGTTCACCCTTCATATTGAACTGTGAGATACACCAAGTGCTTACAAC